AGATTATTTAACAACTCGACAGGGTTTGAGGCCAGTGCGAGAGGATTCAGGCAAAGCAGTGGGGTATAAGCTTCCATTACTTAGCCACATTAGCCTCATAGCTCCAGTGCAAAACTAAAGAAACTCCAAATATTTCTTGGCTGATCAATAATATTTGTTTTTAAAGTGACATTCTGGCCAAAAAGGAAAATGATTCTCCATCAGTTGTAAACATGTCCACCCACACGCTGCAGTGGAGTGAGACTTTATGAAAAACTGGGTTTTCAGTTCTTGTTATCTGGTGAACTGAAGAAAGGCAGACAGCTAACATTACTGCAAGGAAGCCCACTGTCGTATTATAGTCGTATAACTGTAATAACTGTCTTCAGATAATCATTACAGTAAAGAGAACAGATTACTCGACAAAAATGACTCATCATATGAGGATAATGACAAGCTAAAAGACAGCTCGCTATCTAGATGCCTTACCTCAATCTACTTGTCTATTTGAGATATTTTTTGGCAACACTTTACTGTAGAGTACTGTTCATAAGGCTACATAACACCTACATAAGCTTGTCATGACAACTGACATAACCCTACTTAGATGTTTATAAATGCTTATTCCAATAGGCATCATCTGTCATAAAGGCTACTTTAGCTCACTTTGATCAAAACTTGCAAATATAACCTTTATATATATAACCACCTTATGCCTATTGGAAAAGGCATTTATAAACATTTATGTCAGTTGTCGTGACAAGCTTATGTAGGTGTCACGTAGCTTTATGAACAGTACCCTACAATAAAGTGTTACCTATTTTTCTTTATGATTTTGTTTGACCTCTGAGGTAAGAGCTGCACTAATGCAAGCATTGTTTTATTTATCAGCTTATAGATCAGTGCATAGGCTAAAAAAATTGGTTGGCACCACAGGGATTTTCCCAGTGGCTGTGTAATGCATGCTGGTTATTACAGATAGAAAATGTTGACATCATACATTCTGTCAAGCTGATGAGGCTGAGGGATACAGTGCTGCTCTACAAAATACTGCATAACATCATAAATAACATATTGAAATCCAGTTTTAGGCCATCATGACTCTTTAAGGAGAAAAGTATGTGCATTTCTTTAAGCTCTCGCTTTAAATGATGTGAAATCTATAGGCTTCAATAATAGATTCCTTTTGATTCCAGCAGTGTGAAGTCAGATTTGAGTCAACGCTGTATTTTCTGAGCAGCACAGGCTTTTCCTGACAAAACAGTGAGATGAGAGGTTAAAAGGGTGAAGGTGTGTTATTGATGTGGAGGTGTGCAAATGTCTGACTGCTGAAGTAACCCGTCTACATTTTTCAGTCTCTATATGTGTCAGTCTCTCCCTTCAGCTTTCTATGGCAACTCCACACTCTACAACTGTAATGTTAGGAGAGAAGAGGAGCCAGGATGCAAGTGCAAGTCTGTGGTTTTTATTAAAAATCCGCGACACAAGGTGACCACAAAGGTGACCAAACAAAGACAGAATCCTACTGAACAAAATACGGAAACATAAGGAAAACAAAACACAGAGAGACATGAAGAAAGCTAGAAAACAAACGAGAGAAAACCAAAACAGGGCTTGAAAGAACAAGACACCAAGCAAACACAAAGCACACAAGAAGGGGTATAAATACACATGGAACAGGCTAGAAACACCTGGGACTAATGAGAGGGCAGAGCTAGAGACAACACACAGGTGAGACAGATAACAAGAAGGCAGGACCAGAGACCAAAACAACAACAGAAGCACATGGCTAGCATAAACAAAGGCTGAAACAGAGACAAGGACAGGGCAAGACAGGATGTTACAACAACCATAGCCTAAAGATTTACTGTTCATTGCAAACAGAACCTCTGTATTGGTACTATCCATGCAATGTGCTTGATCTTTAGCCTGTTGTTAGAGCTTCTTACCATGAATATCATCTTTAATTGCTCTGTGTTTGAATTAGCATACTTGCATACTGCATTAGCATGTACTATATTCTGTATATTGGTCCAGTAAATACTGTATCCTGCATACTGGTCAAGCACGATCTGTATACTGCACACTGCATACCTGAACCAAGTAATTGGTTAATGAACTCTTTGGAAAGATAAGCTTATTTTTTACCTGTTAAACTTAAGATTTTGCCATATTCATAATTACAGTTCAATTCAAACAATCGGCTATGAAATTATTGTGAGTTATATAGTTAGACCCACATATATTTGCCCTGAGAAAGGTGATTTACCTGCTAATTTTTGGCAAAATACCCAATTACCCCCTTCCTCCAAAATGTAGTTGATCAGCCAAGGCATGTTTGGTGTCTGAAGTTTGCTTCTCTACTTTTGCAGTGGAGCTACGAGGCTAATGTAGCTAACAAGCAATGAGTTAAAGCGTTTAACAAGCCCTTACTGAGTTGAAGTGGAAGTGTTAGAGCAGGGAAAACACTAAAATGTGCAGGGCAGGGTGTAAAATGCGCTGAGTGAACCACAGAAAGAACTTGGCTCTTTAGAAACATAATGATCATTATCATTAGAGCGCAGTTTCCTGCCATCGCTCACATTACTGGCGATCCCCACAGCGCAGGCCAAGATTGAGTCTTTTTATAGCGGCTATGGCGTCGTACCTGTCAGAGTGCCGCTGTGTAATTGGTCATGGTTGTGATGAAGGCGTGCCGTACGCTCTAGGGACTCATTTTCCTCATTTCCCAGTGTTTCAGGCTGAGACAACACTAAATTACTGCTAACCAGGGCTTGAGTGGATGCAGAGCTTGACCTCTGACCTCTTACAACCGCTGTACTGGCATAAATGCTAATGCTCTCCATTGCCCTGTTTCTGGCTGTGTTTGGAGCGGCATACTTTAGTACTGCATACCACAAACTGTACGCTGCATACTGCACCAATGTACCATGTACTGTATGTATACTGCATACTGTACCAGCGTACCATATACTGTACACTGCATACTGCACCAATGTACCGCATACTGTACACTGCATACTATACCAATGAACCACATACTGTACACTGCATACTGCACCAATGTACCATATACTGTATACTGTACACTGCATACTGCACCAATGTACCATATACTGTATACTGTATACTGCATACTGCACCAGTGTACCACATACTGTACACTGCATACGGCACCAGTGTACCACATACTGTTTACTCCATGCTGCACCAATGTAGATATTCTGTGTATATTGCGTATTATATACTGTACACTGCATACTGCACTAATACTTACTGTTGTACATATACTGCATACTGCAGTATGTATTGTATACTTTATACTGTACACTGCATCATTATATACTGTACACTGCATATTACACTAGTACGTTATACTTAACCCGTATATTTTGTATAGACCGTGCTGCACCATAGTATGTTAAGCAGTTTATTAAGATTACTGCATAGTGTATCAGTATACACTTTATGTATGTCACATACTCCACCAGTATATACTGTATATAAACTTCATACTGCACCAGTATATACAATCTGCTGCACACTACACCAGTTTATACTGTATGTGTACTTTATACTCTCTGTCTCTCTCTCTCTCTCTCTCTCTCTCTGTCTCTCTCTCTCAATCTCTTTCTCTCTCTCTCTCTCTCTCTCTCTCTCTCTCCCTCTCCCTCAATCTCTCTCTCTCTCTCTATTTGCACATCACTGGCATCCTCAAACCTTTCAAACATTCTGCTTCATTTGAGAAATGATGATGAGCGAGTTTCCACTGATCACTGCCTGTTCCTTTTCTCTGTCCCACCATTCTTTTTTTCTCTCAGCAGCTTTCTGTAATTTAAACGTGTGTGTGTGTGTGTGTGTGTGTGTGTGTGTGTGTGTGTGTGTGTGTGTGTGTGTGCGCTCGTGCTCCAGTGCTTGAAATCGCAAACCTGTTGTACATCTACAGAAACCTAGCCAGTGGATTTGAGAGCCCAGAATCCAGCATGTTCTGTTCAGTTCTCTCCAGTGTTTATGATTCTTTTATGGAAAATGATTATTTTTTCACATTTTCTTTACAAACACTCCAGTCAGCACAGCATTTGTGCTGTATATTATAGTAAGTTTTGTATATTTATTGGCATAACTGCATCGAGCGCAGTGTTGCCTAAGGACAGTGAGGTTTCACTGTTTGTTGCTGAACATTCAGTCGTGTGCAAAAGTTTAGGCACCCCTAGTCAAAAGACATTTTTGTTCATTTTCTGTTTGTAATCAGTCAGGCAGTTGGGTTTTTGAAGTACCAATAATATCCATGATACATATAGAAAAGCACATTTACAAGGATAAATAGTATTGCCTAATGTGGCACCCTTAATGTGGCCTGTGCCAAAGTTATGGAATATTTTATATTTATATGTTTTATTTTTTATTTTTTTATATTTTTCAATGTTTGTAAGATACATATGCAAGATTTATATGTATACATATATATATATATATATATATATAGACAACAGACAGGTGAAAGAAATATGGTGAGCATGTGCTGCTGCGAGTTTTTCACACCTCATCATACGTCTTTACGTATAAACATCACACACGCAGACTCAAAAAGAAGGTCCTGCTTGTTTAGTTCTCAGATGCTGCAAAGATATGATAATATCACTCACATCCTCAGAAGACGTGACCATCACGTTCTCTTTGAATTCTCTTTCAACTCACTCCATTCGTCCGCTCAGGATAGGTGGTCTGAAGCACAACCCATGTTACAAAATGTTCTTCCGCATGTTGTGTGCAATTACACATTCCCACCAGAGAGGTCTCCAAATCCCCAAAACTTACATAGTGCAGCTATATTTTAAGTGTGTATTTTTTTTTAAGGATGTGCTGAATTATTTTCACTTAGAAAATTTGACCATGGATGTTCAAACTCTTGCATGTGACAGCACTCAGTAGGGATAATTGCTATAAAAATGCAATAATAATAATAATAATAATAATAATAATAATAATAATAACCTCTTTTTCTCTCACTTTGTTTGCAGGAAGTTCCTGCCACAGTAACACTCTCCCGGCTCTGGTGCGGACGCCTCCTCTGATGATGCAGTCCGCTTTGGACCTCAAGCCCTTCATCCCGTTCCCTGTGGACAGCAGCTCCACACCCGTCGGCCTGTTCGCCAACTTCAGCACGGTAACTCTCTCTTTCTGTCTCTCTCTCTCTCTCTCTCTCTCTCTCTCTCTCTCTCTCTCTCCCTCTCTGTACGTCTCTCATCCTCTGTATTTCTGTCTCGGAGTATGAGCTCAAGTGCAGTGCAGAAAGTGGACTTGTCCATATATGAAGACAGTGTCGGGGTAACATGATACAAAGGAACATATTACAGCAATGTGATTGCTTTGTATCGTAACGTGTAGTTTAAGGCATTACAGTATTAATTCTTATGGTCTGTAACACTTTTAAACCTTCAGTTTACTTTCAGTCTGTTCACCCACCACAACATTCAGCCTGATAATCCAGCCAATTTTTCATTATTGTGTACAATTCACAGCATCTTGGTTGATTTCACAAATAATATTATTTAATTATGTAATTATAGGCGGCACGGTGGCGCAGTGGGTAGCGTTGTCGCCTCACAGCAAGAATGGCCTGGGTTTGATTCCCGGCCGGGTGACCAGGGTCATTTCTGTGTGGAGTTTGCCTGTTCTCCCCGTGTCTGCGTGGGTTTCCTCCGGGTACTCCGGTTTCCTCCCACAGTCCAAAGACATGCAGTCAGGCTGACTGGATGTGCTAAATTGCCCCTAGGTGTGAATGTGTATGTCTGTCTGTCTGCCCTGTGATGGACTGGCGACCTGTCCAGGGTGTATCCTGCCTTCCGCCCAATGACAGCTGGGATAGGCTCCAGCACCCCACCGCGACCCAGAAGGATAAGCGGTTTAGATGATGGATGGATGAATTATGTAATTATATTATTTGATAATTAAATGCTAATAAGAAAGTAAATGCTTATTATTTATATATACGTTAATTGTTGATTAAGTATCAGTTATTACTTAGTATCTAATTATGTACTTTATAATTAGAAATGGCTGTTAGATTAGTTTATGTACTCATCTTAATTAGCCATCACAAACATTAGCAAACTGGGACAAAACAATACTGACCTATTGGTTCTGCGAAACAGCACAAATAAGGTAATGTTGCGCACCTGTCAGTCAGAAACGGAGCGACCTCCTCATCCCTTTTCATATAATTGAACTCTCAGTGAAGATGAATTAAGCTTCTTATTTACCAGCTTCTTATTCAAATGTTCTTGTTCCACCTTAAATGGTGCAACAGATACATTCTGGTGCCTTAGGAGATCTTTAATTTAATACAGTACCTTTTAATATAGTACCTAATGTAGTATAGTGCTAATATAGTTAGTGATGTGTAATTAATGACTTTGAGTATCTGCCCAACAGTGCTGGGAGACTGTGTGTCTGTGTGTGAGTGAGCTGAGAAGATCTCAGGTGGTAGTGCAGACACACAGCAGTGACATCAACAGGTCTGTGGATGTTTGAGTGTGTGTGTAGATATGATATAAACTCAGTGGTGTGAGCGCTCAGACACTGGTGTGTGTGTGTGTGTGTCTGTGTGTGTGTGTGTGTGTGTGTGTGTGTGTGTTCAGTATTGATTGTCCCTCAGACTGAGAGTGAAATGGATTTGAGCTTTTATCTGGACGGAGCAGGAGGACAGAGCACAGAGCTGATTTCATCTCTAATAGAAAAAAAAATCACACAGACACAGTCAGAGTTTTCTTCAACTCTCTCCCTCTCTCCACCACTCTCTCTCTCATCCTCTCTCTAACTTTCTCTCTCTCTATCTCTCTCAACCTCTCTCTCACTCTCATCCTTCTCTCTAACTTTCTCTCTCTCTCTCAAATCTCTCTCTCAACCTCTCTCTCTCACTCTCATCCTTCTCTCTTACCTTCTCTCTCTCTCTCTCTCTCTCTCTCTCTCTCAACCTCTCTCTCTCTCCCATTCTTCTCTCTTACCTTCTCTCTCTCTCTCTCTCAAATCTCTCTCTCTCTCTTTCTCTCTCTCTTTCTAACTTTCTCTCTCTCTCTTTCTCTCTTTCTAACTCTGTTCTCTCTCTCTCTCTCGCTCTGTTCTCTGTTGTATATTTCACTATATTTCATCTCAGAAAGTCAGGAATGTTTTTTGTTGTCGGAATGTCTTTTCTAGAAAAGTTAGCATTTTTGGAGATTGGAAAACAAAGTTTTGGGGTTTTATACAGACTACCCCCACACACACACACACCCCCCCCACACACACACACACACATACATACACACACACACACACACACACACACATACACACACACACACACACACACACACACACACACCCATACACACACACACACACACACACACACACATACACAAACACACATACACACACACACACACACACACACACACACATACACACCCATACACACTCTCTCTCTCTCTCTCTCTCTCTCTCTCTCTCTCTCTCTAGATATACCTATGTGTTTGTATGTGTATGTATTATGTATACAGTAGTGCCTGAAAGTTTGTGAACCCTTTAGAATTTTCTATATTTCTTCATAAATTTCACCTAAAACTTCATCGGATTTTCACACAAGACCTAATAGTGGATAAAGAGAACCAAATTAAACAAACCAGACAAAAATATTAGACTTGGTCATTTATTTATTGAGGAATATGACCCAATATTACATCTGTGAGTGGCAGAAGTATGTGAGCCTGTGCTTTCAGTATCTGGTGTGACCCTCTTGTGCAGCAATAACTGCATCTAAACATTTCCGGTAACTGTTGATTAGTCCTGCACATCGGCCTGGTGGGATTTTAGTCCCCTCCGTACAAAACAGCTTCAACTCTGTTATGTTGGTGGGTTTCCTCCCATGAACTGCTACTTCAGGTCCTTCCACAACATTTCTATAGGATTAGGGTCAGGGCTTTGACTTGGCCATTTGTTTTAGTTGCCTTTAGTAGCTTAGAAGTTACCCTGGGTTCCTTTGTGACCTCGAGGACTGTTACACACCATGCTCTTGGTGTGATCTTTGTTGGTCCTGAGGAGCATAACAGTGGTCTTCTCCATTTGTACACAATCTGTCTGACTGTGATTGGTGGAGTCCAAGATGGTTTGTAACCTTTTCCAGCCTGATGAGCATCAACAGCTCTTCTTCTGAGGTCCTCAGGAATCTCCTTTGTTCATGTCATGATACTCTTCCACAAACATGTGCTGTGAAGATCAGACTGTGGTGGATCCCTGTTCTTTAAAACAGGGTGGTCACTCACGCCTGATTGCCATCCCATTTATTTTATTTTATTTTATTTTATTTTTTTATAAAAAAAAATATATATATATATATATATATATATGTTTTGTGGAGGTTTTGTTCGTAAAGCAATTATGCATCCTCACTCCTGTTTCAACGTCAGTTTCTTTTTCTATCTCTCTCTCTATGTCTCTCATTCCTTCTGTCTTTCTCTCTCCTTTCTCACTTTCTTTCTTTCTCTTTCACCATTTTTTTTTTCTTTCTGTCCTTCTTTCTCTCATGCTTTCTCTTTTTTTTCATTCTTTCTTTCTCCTCTCTTCTCTGTACAGCAGTCAGTGGACTCCTGTCCTCAGGTCATGTCCTGCTGATTTATGTTCTGTCCGGCAGCTGAAAAATGTCCTAAAAACCCTCCTGAGTTAAACCTGTCATAATCACAGCTCAGCTGTCAGCGCAAATCAGGCACTGCTCGGCGCTGCAGTCACGCCAGCGCTAAAGCACGCTTAATTATACAGCCTCTCAGTAACGTCACCAGCCTGAAACATTTCCTCACAGAGTTAATCACTCTTGTTTTAATGATTACAGCAGAAATGTGGAGATTTGCAGCGTATTTTGAAGCCGTTATCCAATCAGCACTGATTTATTTCCCTCTAGACATTAGTCTGTATTAGTTAATGTCTTAATCTCAGCTTTATTTTCCCTTTCACCCTCATCCACTCCACCACTTTCACTGCAGCCGCATAGAAGAATCAGATTTAATTGTAATGAAAATAGGCTGGTTTAGTTAGAATGGAATAAACTGCTTTAATTGTAATTGAATAAGCTCATTTTTATTGTAATCATGTTCATTATAAGTAATCTGTACACTTCAAGCAAACTTTGTGGAATAGCCTAGAATCCAGACCAATGGACCCATATTTACATCTTTCTTTACATTGTATATATATATATATATGAACTATAGATATGTTTATATGGTTTTACACACCAAAAATATTAATAATTTATTTTGTATGACCATTTTTCAAACTGTATCTCTAATCAAATGTTTTCTAGTGTGCCTTTAAATGAGATCTACATGTAAATGATCTCTCTTTTGATTGGCTTCTCTGTATGGTGCCAAAATGTAGCCTGGACTAAAACACTCCTCATAACTTCAGCGTGTGTGGGCGGAGCTAAACTGCTATAGGCTGAATAGGTGGATCTGTGTGTTGGTTTTTAAATAAACATTGAATTCAGTATGAGCTGTTTCTGTGACTTACATATATATGTGTATATAAGCTCCCTGGACAAAAAATGTGTCACCTTGCATGTTTAAGGTTCAGATGGCACTGCACGAGGATGATCAGGCTATAAATAGATTAAGAAAAGGTGGTACATTGCAGTGAATGTCTCGTTTGATGTGTGGAAGACGGGTCGCAAAGCAGATAATATCTATCTATCTATCTATCTATCTATCTATCTATCTATCTATCTATCTATCTAGATAGATAGAAAGCTCATATCACCATTTTTGGTTTGCAGCTTTTGACATAATTTGAAAATACCTGTTAGTATTTACATTGTTTGTGAATTTCATGACGAATGGAAAAACAAATGGTCCAAAATGACTTGGAAAAAATTCTGGTTCCATTGACTTACATTAAAAGTAAGGTATGTTTTTTCCTTCTCCTGTAAAGTTATCATTTTAGAGACATGATATATGGTATATATATATATATATATATATATATATATATATATATATATATATATATATATATATATACAAATGCACAAATGCGTGTATATATATATATATATATATATATATATATATATATATATATATATACAGACTGAGAAGTGAATTACTTTTTTGCACACAGTATTAATGTCTTTTAATTAAAGTTTTACATGATACAGTGATACATTTAACACTGTTTACATAGTGCATCAAATAAAAAGGATATGGGCTCTTTAAATTTCTCATCAGGGTTCTTTCCTTCAGCTCTACATACTAAGATGACACGCCTGGAGTATGTTGTAAATCATATAACATTCATAGAGTTTTTCAAACTGTGAAGGGCCAATTTTCTACATTTTCTTATCAAGTACTTTACTTGTAAGCCTATTCAAGTCATGTTTTTCAGGGTCAACTTTATTTCAAGGCAAATCTTTTAATCTGACACCAGCTATGTCCTCTTAAATCTCCTGACCGCAGTTGTAAATAATTGAATCTTCTTGCAGGGTTTATTTCTATATCTCGTCTTTGATGAGAGCAACTTTTTCATCTTGCAGTGAAGGACAGAGATTGTTTGGGCGTTCACTCGCTCTGACATATGCCTTCTCTGGCGCCGGGACAGAGCATGTTTGCGTAGATGCACGAGCAGGTGGCCTTATTTATTTATTATTGGTGCTTATTTTCCCTGCCATTACGTCCAGTACCAGTGAAAGGTTTGGACACACGTAATATATGAAGGGTTTAATTCATATTCTGTATTTACCATGTTTTAGAATAATATTGACATCAAAAAAAGAAAAAAAATACACACAACTTATAATTTGGATTCTTCAAAGTAGCCTTCAAACCCTCCTCTACTTTTAGACACACTTGGCCCCTAATATTTTATTTGATTAAAACAAATTAATACGAAGCGTCAACATCACTATTTATTAAATCTAACATTTTAAAAACTATGCGAATGATAATGAAAATGAAAAAAGTGACTAAAAACGCTGTTTCCTGCTCTCGTCTGGTCAGCACAGATGTGTTCAAACAGTTTGAGCAGCAGTAGATCAATAGTGAAACTCTCAAACACAGTCCAGCTGGGTTCTATACAGTACTCAATACTCAAATTCTTTAATGGAACATAAATAATGCTTAATAACTCAGTATACTCAAATTCTTTAATGGAACATAAATAATGCTTAATAACTCAATATCTTTTGGTAATTAATTTCTTCACCTCTGATTTTAGAAGTTATTACTACAAAAATGTGCATTTGTTAGATCCTGCTGATGAACACTAAAGCGACCTGTGCGCTAACAGCGCCCTCTGCTGGAGCGACTTCTGACTGCTAGGCAAGAGTTAAAAAGTCACGCCCATATGTTTTACATATTAAAAGAAAATGAGGTGTTTTCTGTTGTTACAGCGGAAGCGCTCTAGAATTCAACTGTAATATGTCATTGTTTAGTACACTGTTTAAATATGAATTAGTTACATTTAAGTAATTAAATGGAAATTACTCCTCTAATTCTCTCTGTCCACTTTCCCAACATGGCAGTTATCACCTTGAAGCATTGTTTGCATTATTACATTTATTGAAAAGCATAAATAAAACAGCAAACTCTTTTTTTCAGCTTTTGGCTTTCAGTTTCAGGTTTTGATTTTTGTCCTATATTTCCGTTTTGGTGAACAATTTTTGTTCCGCAAACGTAGATAATCGGCTAAGATGTATTCGGTGTCTGAAGTTTGCTTCTTTAGTTTTGCACTGGACGTATGGACATACACTGGACTCTGGATAATGTAAATATGTTCTCTGGAGTGATGAATCTGATAGTCTGTCCAATGAATCTGGGTTTAGCGGATGCCAGGAGAACGCTACCTACCGGAAAGCACAGTGCCAACAGTAAAAAAGTTTGGTAGAGGAGGGATAATGGGCTGGAGCTGTTTTTAGGGTTTGAAGCCCTTAGTTCCAGTAAAAGGTGATGTTAATCACTTACATGGCCAGGGCCCACCAGCAGGCCCAAAGTTTTATTACACACTTCTATAACCTAAGAATAGCTCAGTCAGTTTGCATTGAAATCCCTGTAGTTACTGAATAATAAGCCTTAGTATGTAATAAGCCTGGGATTACAGGGGTTAACGTTACAGCATACAAAGATATTTTAGATGGTTATATGCTTGTGATATGGCGAATTGTTTGCTTAGTTCTTGAGATGGCAGTGGGATTATGGGAGCAGCAGTGGGCAGAAACAGATAATGAAAGCCAAAATACTTCAGAGAATTTTGGATCTTCATTTAAATAAGTGAATTGTTCATCAAACATTAACAGAGGAATTACATGAAGAGAACTGCCAACCTGTAATAGCGATGAACCGTGTAAATTGCTTCTCAGCCTTTTGGCTAAGATCAGGTGTAAATCTGTTCTTATCAGTTTAATATCTGACACGTCCTCTAATTGAGAACTACATATTAAATTGATTTTTAGAACAGGGAGACAGAAGAGGAGCTTGATCTGTCAGGCCGTGCATCTGCCTGGTATTGCAGTACCTCCATGAGCAGTGCACCTCCTGGGGGCAGTCGTGGGCTGGAGGTTAGGGAACCAGCCTTGTGACCGGAAGGTCGCTGGTTCGATCCCCTGAGCCGACAGTATGTGACTGAAGTGACTCCAGGCACCCAACCCCCAACTGCTCCCAAGGTGCTGTGGATAGGGCCGCTCTGGGCAAGTGTGCTCACTGCCCCCTAGTGTGTGCATTCACTAGTGTGTGTATGTGGGTGTTTCACTGAATGGATGGGTTAAATGTGGAGGTGAATGTCCCTGTTGTGGGACTAATAAAGGGTAACTTAAATCACAAGAGCAGAATTTGTCCCCATTAATATGTATTCTGATTATGTTAATTTCTATGTACTGTGGTGGAATATGTGCAGAATACATTTTGCACAGTGTATTAAGTTTTGAGCCATCATTACTTTTTTTTAAAGCGTTCTGCTCATCACTGCTGGTGTATATTTCAGGTTTTCAGAATGTCCCATACCCAGATCAGGGTGGTTCAGCAGCAGAATCTGACCAGCTGCTTCCGAATCTGACTAACAGGAGCCATTAGCAGAGCAGACGGGAGAGGGAGGATCGAACGAAGCTCACGGGGTGTTTTTTTTCTCTCTCTCTCTTCTTCTAAGAATATATTGAGCGACTGTCTGTTGCAGCCGTTCATCAGGGTGCTGATAATTTAGTGGATGAGCGGAGCACTGTGATGAGGCATGATGTGAACATGATTGCATAGCTGCTCTCTCTCTCTCTCTCTCTCTCTCTCTATGTAATACTATGAGAAACGCTACCTAAGGGGAGGATTACACAGGTTTTATTATACAGTATAATGGATATACTGTATTTTAACACTGCACACTGTGTACTTCGTGTCGTCTTACACATACATGAACAAAACTGTCCAAAAATCAAAGACTCTCCTTCATTTATTTCATTTCCAGTCAAAACAGCCATTAAGAACAAGTTTTTTTTTATTTTTCAATGTCAGGATAAAATCAGAAAGCATATATCACACTGAAAATTACACAGAAGCCTCAACTACTGCGTATAATATCACATTTTTGAGGTTAAATTTTGTCCACTCTTCACCTTTATTCCAGCTTCCATTCTTTTCAGGAGACTCACTTCCAGTTCCTCAAAGAATCTGCAGACACACCTCCAAAGTTCAGTCTTAGAAGCTGGTTGATCATTTTCTGAAGTAATCAAACACATTCAGTGGTGTTGAGGTCTGGACTCTGGGGTGGTCAGTCCATCGTTCAGCTTCTTTGTTTGATGTGTCCGTCTCCTTTTCTCAGTGAGGTTCTTCTTGAACAGCTACACATCCTTTCAGACCCACAGCGCTGAGTCGTCTTCTCACAGTGGAAGGATGGACAGAAACACCTGTGGATGTTTTCAGATCTGAAGCAGCTTGATTTTCTCCTCTCTCTCAGAGATGAAAGCTTTAAGTGCTGTTTATCTGATGTTTTGGTGTCTGACAGGTCTTCCAGGTGGTTGTTAGGAGCCCCATTTTCTCTGTAGCTTTGAATCATTTTTTCAACTCCAGTTTCTCCTTCCTATGCAAGTGGATGGTCTTGAATCTAATCTCCTTAAAAATATCTGCTGAACACTGAATAACTTGTACTTAAAGGCTATTTTGGCTTGAAATTTAAATAATTGAAGGGTGGTCTCAGACTTTTGCACAGTACTGTTTGAGAGAACGCCAAGAGTTTGCATAGCTGCTTTGAAAAATCTGACAGAGGACAATCCTCATTTGTGGAACAGTTTTTGGGTAACACTTTATTTGAACTCTGCATAACTGCTACATAACATTGACATAATCATCTAATGCCGTAAACATGTCATGGCAGACGTCGTAAGCTGTTGTGAGGTAAAATAACAATGTGTTCCTTTATATTTTTCCGTGTTAAACTCCGCAAATAAATAGAAATTGTGCACTTTTTATACTAATGCTGTTTGCTATCCGGTGTGGACCAGAGGAGGATGGGTTCCCCTTTTGAGTCTTGGTTCCTCTCAAGGTTTCTTCCTCTTGCTCTTAGGGAGTTTTTCCTTGCCACTGTCGCCCCTTGGCGATGCTCATGGGGGCTCGGACCTGGATTTTTCTGTAAAGCTGCTTTGTGACAACGCCTGTTGTAAAAAGCGCTACATAAATAAACTTTGCTTGCACTGAAATTTGCAGATAATGCCATATTTCAGTGTGCTCTGTGTAGAGCGTGACCGTGGGTGTTCAGACTTTTGCATACGGCTGTTTGAGTGGGCGTATCCAAACCTTCGACTGGCGCTGTGTGTTGGATCTTTGGCCTGCGTTGAGTCAGTGCTGTATTCTGCTGTGGAGGCACGAAGCTCCTCTAACAGCAGTGCAGTGTGTGGTTGACGTTGGACAGCAGTAAAAAGTTCTGAAGAGTTTCTGTAGATGCACTTTGCAGTTTCCCTCTGTGTTTATCTTAGTTTAACGCTTCAAAATGACAGAGCTCCTCTCTCTCTCTCTCTCTCTCTCTCTCTCTCTCTCTCTCTCTCGCTGCTTTCTCCTTTTATGTTTGTTTTCTTTACCTGTGAGTTTTTTTCCCTCCTCTCATTCACGGTTCTCTCTCGTCTCAGAACGCCAGTCAAAGTCGTCGCTGATGTCAGACGTTTATTTGTTTGCTTGAATAGATTGTCAGGTACTGAGGACAGGAGGCAATGCGGGAATGTAATTGAAATTCATTGGACAGTGACGACCAATCTTAAGCTCCCACCTCTCTCTTTCTCTCTCTCTCATTGTTTCTCTCGCTCAACTGAACTCGAATAAACTTTACTGCCATGACCATGTTAAGTTACTGGGTTGCATGAATTACTGCGTCCTGCATTGATAGAAGGTATTTTCATTATTCAATATTTGTTTTTTGGGAAAAAATAATACTGTAATCTTCTATTTATAGCCATTCGATTATATCACCACTTCTCAAATGTGAGATATTCTGGATATTGACTTTATTATAACTTTCTCTACCTTTCTCAGTCATTTTAGAATCATCTACAGTTCTGTCCATCATTCTGGACATATTTATTATTCTCTCATTGGTTGTAGCTTCCTACTAATGTACCTGCATATTATTGAAAACATTGTGTTTACATACGAAGCTTTTTGCCAATCCAATTGAACACATTCTGATTACAGATTTAGACTGAGGTGTATATATCACACTCTACTCAACAATCTGATGGAAAATCTCTGTTTACATGCTCACTACAAGTAATCCAATCCAAAATGACGTGCATGTGTAGAAAACCACTCAGTGTAGACGTTACTAATGACAGTGAACATCACGTGAGTCCAGTCAGAGTGAGACGAGCAGCACTTGTGTTTTTAATTGCTTTAAAATGATGTCAGACTCAGGAAAACGTCCTTCACACGTCCTTATTAAAGAAGAGGAAGACGTCGTGTTCTGAGACACATAAGCTGGACGTCCGTCCCACCGCCGTCTTTTAAAGACCAGAGCATAAACTTCGTCTCCTCTGCAGACCAGTTTCTGCTCCGCCATGCTGAACGGTATAAACTTTCACTATGACGTGACGCACATGATCAGAACTGACTTAAACTTTCCGATAGGGAATGTAATCAGATACAGGCGTTTACACGGATATTATTCTTCAATTTAACAGATTATTTACAGGATTACCCACCTCGATCAGTCAGAAAGAGACTGTATTCCGAATGGCCTCAATCAGACTAGACTATTCCGACTGAGGTGTTTATATGGACATATTCTATTCCGATTGAGCTATTAGTCAGGATATTAACAGATTATCAGGCTGCATGTAAATGTAGCTACTGATTCCAACTTTTACTGGTGATATGAACAGTGTTATTTTGACTAGATATTTATCTAAACACACTTAATTATGTATGTTATTTATTTGCTGAGTTCAATATATTGGAAAAAATAAAACGTAAAATATAGAATGTGCCTTAACGTCTGTGCCGGCCACATTTTATGTTAAATTCAGCAAGTAAACAGTAATTGTGCGTTAAAATAAAATGTAATTTGCCCGGGGGTGCACTAACTTTTGCACACTGTACATTAGAAAGTATTCCTGAGCTTTTCCGTGTGCTGGCACATTTTCCCTCAGGCGTAGCATTCTTGTGCTCCGTTTGTCTCCCTCGATCTGTGGCTCTGCTCATCAGGCCTGATATCATTAAGCGTTTGAGTGGCAGGTGAAGTCACTCCCCCACTGCGGCTGTGCTAAGGTACAAGACGCTCAGACTAGAAGCAGCAAAAAGAGCAAAACAAGTAATTCCACTGGCCAGCTGCAGCAGATCCCCTCCTGACCGCTCCTGCTCCTGCCCTCGTTATCTGTTGGCCTGAAAGTTGCTGCTTCTTCTGCTGTTGTTGTTGGGGAGACGAGAGAGAGAGAGAGAGAGAGAGATTTTAATTACAGATCATTGCAGCTCAGCACTGACTGCAATAATAGGCCGTTTGTCATGGTCCTGCGGTTCAGGCTGGGTCTTGCAGCTCCTTCTGAAGAATGAGGGGCATTTCCAGCGTACAGCATGACTCAGGCAGGCCTGAACGTCTCTCTCCACCTATGTCCGGCACTGTAATCAAACAGGGTGGAATAATTATACTCTGACCATGGAGTCATTGGTCATTTTATTAGGTACATCTACCATGTAAGTGTATTTTGTAAACAGTGATATAATTACAGACTGGGTGGGTCAGGGGAAACATGTTCAGGGAGCGTGTAGAAAGGAGAATTTCTACTCATTGATGTCTTCTGGGTTTTTCAGACTCTTTCGACAACATTTTTCCCAACATTTTTTCTAGGGCACTGTGGGATCAGTAACATGTGGCATTAAAAGACTGAACTGGTAATGACGGATTAAAAGATGGAGGAACAGGCCGATAGTGCCTTTGAAGCCTTTTTATTAAAACCAACTACAAGAAAAGTGGCCTGCTATGATACCTAGTACCACACTGGAAGAGGCAAACTGTGAACACACCAAAGAAAAGAACAAAACAAAACCTGGCCACGCTGCCTACTCTGAAACA